AAATGGTATTGTAGATAATCTTAATATGATTTCTGATGCAGGTGAAAGATTAGAAGGATTGGTATTACAAATATATCTATAAGCAAATGCTCGAGCAATTAATGCAGAAAATCGAGTAGCGAATTTGCAGACCCAGCTAATAACTTTGCAAACCTAGTTAACCAATTCCCAGACCCAGTTTGCTAATTCACAAATCCAGTTAGCCACATTTTAAAATAACTATGATCTTCTTCACCAGGCTTATGAGGCCTACAGAACACAGCATAATATATTCAAATCTCGAGAACTTGATGGGTGAATTACAATCCGCACACAAAAAAGACAGATATCAGAATTGCTTATAGAAACAGACAGACATATCATCAATTACAAAATAAGTGGGGCAAGTAGAAAAATCGTGCTCGAAATTCTGAACAATTAATTAATAATTTGAATCAACAAATTTTTGTGCTACAGAATAATATAGCAAACATGGCAACCTTACAAGATGTTATATCTTCATTATCTCCATTGATTGCTCAAATCTCTCCATATATAGGTCAGAAACCTCCTGATGAATATTATAATAAAATAGTACAAGTATTTGTATATGGAAGTGCATTAGGAGTTGCTGGATTTAATGATGTCGTAAAAGCTAAAATTTTAAAATCTAAAATGTCTAGTAAATATACACCTGTTCCAGCTGAATATCCTGCAAGTACAAATATTGACACTCCAGCACAATTCTTAGCCTAGTTACGGCATAAATATTATGAAGAAACAATAGGATCACGCAATGCCTCCTTATTCAGATTAGCACAAGAAAAATTTAACCCTACTGATACTTCTCAAACTTATGAAGACAGAATTCGTCTTTTATTATTACAGACACCAAACAATAACCCAGATGCTTTGGCTATATTATAGACTCATTTACCTGATGAATTATTTACAAGAGTAAAAATAACAAATCCAGGTGATATAAATGCTTTCTTTACAGCTGTTAAAGACATATGGCTTGAGCGAAAACCATCTACCTTTACATATAATGGAGTTAATAGCAATTCATCAGTTCCTATAATTTTATCTAATACAATACCTAGTGAAAATTTATCTATATATAAAAAAGCATATGACAAATTAAATTTTATAGCTCAAAGACTAGGATATTCTGATAATGCATCTAGAGATCCAGATGCTTTAAAAAATTTTATCAAAGAAGAATTATATAAAAGATTAGGCTATGCGAATTATAATATACAATCAAAAAAATTATATAATACAAAGAAGCTTACAGCTAAAAAATCAACAAAATCAAAGAAAGTAGAAAGATACTGTTCTATGTGTGGAAAACCTGGCTATACAAAAAAGAACTGTCCCAAAGTTAGAAAGACTAAAAAGATTAATAATATTACTAGCTCTCAATACGAATATATAGATCAAAGCCAATCAGAAGAAGATATAGAATATATAATTAATGAAAGTGATCAAGAAGAAAGTAGCCAAGAAGAAAGTGATCAAGAAAATAGTGAGATTGAATATAGAGAAACTAATTGTTTTAATATAAAAAAAAAAGTAGGGTTTCTAAGTCTTCTATAAAAAAAAAATCCAAAAAACCAAAAACTAATAAAAAAGCTATTAATGAAAATCAAATATTTTTAGAATCGGTTAAATATGTTTTAACAAGATATATTTCTCGATGTCCTAAAGAAATTTTAACTGAAATATATACAGATCTTAGTAAATTATTTTCTGAAATGAAAGACTCATTTTATTCGTATCATTTAAAAAATTATATGAATAAAGAAGTAGACAAAATATAATAAAAAAGTATCAAATTATTTTAGAACCATTTTTCCTTGCATGCTCAGAAAATGATATGCCAGTATCTCTGACTTCAAGCAATTATTGTGAAAAGATAGGGTCTGCTTCTCTAAATTATGCTATAAAACAATATCAAGAAGCCTAATTATATCGAAATTGGTTTGACCCACTAAAAATAAACTTTTTGCAAATAAAAGAACCCAATAATTATGCCACTATTTCATGTAAAGTATATGATTTAGAAATATCTCATGCATTACTCGATACAGGTTCAGATGGGTCACATATTTCTGGAAATATCACAAATCATTTTATAAAATATTTTGGGCTAAAATTAGATAGAAAAAAGGTTTATAGACTAACAGGAGCTGTAGGAAAAAAACATTCTATTGGGAGCTTTTCTGATTTACCTGTTACTATAGGTATTAGAAATAATACCTTAACAATTTCAGATGAGTTTTCAGTTTTACCAACAAAAAAAGATAATAATGGTAATGATATATCATTATTTATTCTTGGTACTAGATGCCAACATCGAGCTGGCTGGGAATCTATAGTAAAGGGTGAGTTTATAGCATCAGCTAATAGAAAAAGTATTACTATTCCACTTTCAGTTTATAATAAAGATGAGGAGGCAAAGCTTCAAATTTCTAATTCACTCAAAAAAAATAATTAGTTCTGAAGGGATATTACATTGCAACAATACAATCCAATGCATTGAGGAAGCTGAGTTTCGAGATATTTCTATATGGGAAAAATGTATAAATCAATTCTTCTC